CACCATTCCCATCCAGATCAATGCAATTAAACCTGGGCCATAATTAGGTACTAAAGCAAATCAGTTAACAACCTAAAAAATACCCTAATACCATGAAGTACAGAGCATAGCACTTAATCTAGCATTTAAAGTTGATAAAGCACATAATGAAGACTTCCAGATGAAAGCACCAATTTAGACAAATTGATACGACAAATTTAGTTGTTGAAGTTCATTCTTGCTACTTCTTTCTGTTAGCATTCAGTTCTTTCATCACAGACCTCACTTTACGTAAGTTTACATAAGACCTCAATACACCAGATCCAGAAAACATGAATCTTGCTGTGTGAAAACTGAAAACTGACCAATTTTCGTTTGGCACTGCAAGAAAAGTACATAGCAGTGCCTTAACTAAAATGTCATTCTTGACAGAATTACAACCTTTCAATGTGAAATTGCAAACTTGATATGTAATTCCAAAAACAGCAACTAAATTACCAGAACTCAATGCCAGGTTCAGAAGACTTATCCTCCTCAGAGAGTATGAAGTAGACAAAATCTTCATACCCCATCTTGCCTTCAACCTTGCTTCTAAATTTCCGGGCAACCTAAACAAGAGAGTCTGATATTAGTGACACAGAAAAAATTCCAACTCTGGGCAATCATTTTCTGTTTAAGAACTCAGCCTTGTAACAAGAGTAAAACACACACACCTGAGAAAATACTCTATCAACAATTCTATACGTAAGAGCATGGTTTCCATATCGAATAAGGTTCTCTTTGTCAATTAATAAATCATGGTCTGTGTCGAGCTCCCAGAATTTGCAGTATATCACATAGAAGTGCTCATAAGAGAAGTACCTAGCAGATCCAAACGAGAAACATAAATATTTAGGGGAAGTAACATAGCATAACATTGAAGTGACATTTGATGAAAACTAATAATTGAGAAAGGACTGAAAGCTCTGAGTTTGGATAGCACTCGATAGTACAATTTAGCAAAGACAAAAGTAAACTGATGGGACAAAGACAATAAGCTAACAATATAATATTCTCATCCGACAACCTACCTCACATTTCCCAGTTCAAAACAAACTACTTTGGTCAAATAAGCAGTCGAATCTTCAGCTACACGCTTACCTTAAAACTTTGTTAATATCTTCTTCCTCATCCACTTGATGCATTGCAGCCACCAAGTTCGAACGTTTTAGTTCCTTGAGGGTGAGATGACCAGTTCCTGATCTATTGACATAGTGAAATATTCTGTATATGACCGTTTCAGCTGTCCAATTGCACTTTAAGTTAGAAAAGAGGGGCCATACCCTACATATCACTCTCCTACAAGTATAAAGTAAGACACCATAATAAAATGAGAGGCTAAAAGCAAGACCCATCTTATCCCGCATACTATTTTTGTTTGTTTTTTTATGAAGGCCCCATACTACTTTCAGAAGTAACACACAGAGAGACAGGATTTCCGATATGCTCAAGTTATCACCTCCAAATCTTTAAAAAGAATACAGACAGAAGAACAACACAATTAGCCTGAATAGGATAACACAAAGACCATATCAGTAGATCTCCCAAACACGATCGAAAATCATATAGGATATTCAGAAAAGAGATGCAATCCTGTACGACAATCCAGAAGTGGACATAAGGCACTCGCTGATAGAAGAATCTATGCATTTACACAAATGAAGCGAAAGAAAAATATAAACTACCATATCTCTCTTGAAATTCTGAGGTACTCTGCAAAAATTCCAACCCTGGATGAGTAGCCAAAATTTCTCGTAAAATAGGTCTGAAATCATCCTGCAAATAAGGAAGATATAAAACCACTGTAACTAATAATACAGCAACTAACATTTAGCATTTCACCAGAAATTGAATAAACAACTCAAGCAAATGATAGAAGGAATCGCAAAATATAAGAACAAAAGGCAAGGCTTCACAGTTTACCTGACTAAGGTATCCATGATCCGGTTGCTTGAGAATGGTGTAGATCTGAGTTGCTAAGTCCATCGTCAAGAAGTTTCCTTTAACCCAATAGTCCATAAATTGATCCCTGTATTTTGTAACAACGACAAAAGCAAAGAGAAAATTAAAACAGAAGAAGCTAAGGATAACAGCGACAATAAAGGACAATAACACTGATAAACTGCAGCTCATAGAGAGCTACGGCATGTTTGATATAATTCACCTGCCACACCATAAGATCAGCCTAATTGGGATCCTTAAAGTCCTCATTAAAACTCTACAAGGCATCATCAGCCTATGAAGAAAAATAGTCAGTACTATTTTAGTACTGAAACTTATGATTTCCCGAGCATTTTTTCCGTTTGCAACACTTCAATTTATCTCTCGAAATAGCATTCCATTACAGGGTTACAAAGCAAAAAATGAGCTAATAAAATATGGGAGGGCATCATTTCCCTTCTCAAATGGAAGCAGATCTAAGGGGATTAAAAATATAGTTCAACGGTAAAGTTACCAATAAACTTTTCCTATTCAAAAGTGCAAAGAAAAGATGAAGTTCCTCGAAAAGATATTGCCTCATTAGACCAAGAATCGGATAGCAAAACCACGAATAGTTTCTACGGGAGGAAGCTACTCATTTATCTCAATTAAAAATTAAGACAAGAGAATGGTTTTCCACTTTATGCAAGCAAACATAGGCTGTAAGGGTTGTAGAAGTAAGATACCTTGTGATAATGCCGACACTGTTGACATCAATTCTGTTAAACAATATAGTTGAGAAAAAAGACGGGAGCTTGCAGATATCCTTTGCAACCAATTTAAACTCTAGCATAGAAGAAGACAGAAATAAGCAAAAGTAAACCAACAATATCAGGCAGGCTTTGACTAAGGAAACCATCAAGAAAACTTTGAGAAAGAAAAGAGCAAAACTTGAGCCAAAGGGTAAGTACCCTAACCATTTTGTTGCAATCCATCCATGTGATCATAAAAATGTTGATCAACATCAAACAAGCATCGCTCTCTCGTCTCATCTGGAGGCAGCCGGCCATTTTTAAAGTAAAACTACAGACAATTCGAAGTCAGAATCTTCCATGTGGTGTCACTGGCCATGTCAGGAAGTTACATCTGAAGAGAAAATCATACCTGAGGTATGACTTCTCGCACTGGCTCGCTGATGATTTTCAGTGGAGAACCTAAAGAGGAAGGACCAGCTCTCTGTTTCACAGTACGGGGTGAACCAGAAACGCTACGAGGAGAAAGTGGAGGAGCGCAGCCAGAAGGAAACATGGACGGTATTGGACTGCCCGAGCCAGAATTGGTGCTACTAGAATTCCCAATAGCATTCAAAGGTTCCCCAGTCTTCGCAGCAGAAAGCAAAGATTTAACCTATATCCATGACATAAATTAAGGCGAGGAGCAGAACAAAACAACGGTACTGAATACAGCCAGGGTAAAAAGGAATCTGGCAATGTTGGAAATCATTAGAAGTACAAACAAGTTAGAAATTAGAACAGAGAAGTATTTCTATGAATTTCAAAACAAGTAAAAGGAACTCTTTCCACGAATCATTCTCCACATTTCCAAATCTAAGCGATGACCGAGAAACCAAAATTAACGGAAACAAGCTACAACACAAAGAGAGGCAGCAATAAGAACCAAATCCCAAAATAGCTCCCCAAATTCAGCAGAAGATGAAATGTTGATGAGAAATGAAGACGAAACGGAACTAGGGTTTCGCTTTACCAATCGAGAAGTATCAGGAAGGGAAAGCCATTGAGAGAAGAGTTGCTCGGCGAGGAAAGGATTAGCCTTCAAGGCCAACGGTGACAACTCCGGGAGCTGGAGGGCCTCCGGTTGGAAAGCCGCCACGTCACTCATTGGCACCGCCCCTTCCATAAACGCTTCCTGGCGTTGTCAATGTAACGATGAAGCAACGAACGGAGAACCCGAGATCACAGGTAAGAAGCCCTGATAAACTGATCCGTTCTTAAGAATAGGAAGAAGCTCTTCGAATACGCAATAGTCGCCACAATCATTGAAGAAGAAGAAGAAGAAGGAATTAACTGGTGATTGCTGGGTGCTGATCAATATCAATGAAAGAAAGATAGTTTCTTTTGTGTTCTAATGATTTTTGGCTCACGATGAAATTTTATGTTTGGTTTTGTTGGATTTTATGTTTTGGATTTACGACGGAATTTGTTGCACTATGAAAAACTTCATTTTATTTGGAAAAAATCTAAAATTATCATTGTTTAAAAAAAAATTACAAAAATACCACCCACTCCAAATAATTTCCAAAAATACATTCGTTTATATAAAACCGCGCATTTAATGAGCGGTTTTTAATGAAACCGCGCCTCCAGGCAGCGGTTATTGAACAAAACGCACCTCCAAGGCGCGGTTTGACCTTGCATGACTGTCAAAACGCGTGGCCACGTGGCGGTGCATCAAACCGCCCGTTGGAGGAGCGATCTGACAGCCAAAACGCGTGCCAACTCAGAGATCCGCGTCGCCCACGGAAACCGCTCCCCCGAGACGTCCCCCACGGGTTCTAAGCGATCCTCGGATCCCCCATTTTTCTGTCAAAAAGACTCTGTTTCTAAGGAGATGTATACCTCTCCTAAGAGTCTTACGAGTGTACTTGTATTGCTTTAAATTATTGAAAATAATCAATACGATTAACAAAATAATATATTTGATTTTATGTGTATGTGTACAACAAATAATTATACTTAAATTTCGAATATTATTTTAGTTATGTTAATATTAATGTTTATTAGATAATGTATATTTCTCTAAAACAACCTTGATTTAATTAATTTTAATTTTTTTTTGTAAGAATCTTTTAATATTATTTAGTTATGTTAATATTAATGTTTATTATATAATGTATATTTCTCTAAAACAACCTTGATTTAATTAATATTGCATCTTATAATATTATTTAGTTATGTTAAAATTAATATTTAATTAGATAATGTATATTTCTATAAAACCGCTTGATTTAATTAATATTGCATCTTAGAAAATTATTTTAGTTATGTTAAAATTAATGTTTATTAGATAATGTATATTTCTCTAAAACAACCTTGATTTATATATAAATTGTATCTTATAATATATTTATATATGTATAAATCATCAACTTATAGTGAAATTTAAATTCTTCTCTAGGATGCATACCATATAGTCCGCTATAGGGGCGCAACGAATGTGCTTGAATGGAACGACGTCATCTTGCCCTTTCTAAAAAGGGCAAGATTGGATTCGATTAAGCATTTCAATGGAATCAATATCGACCGCCAACTCATCACGGCGATGGTAGAGAGATGGCGAAAGGAGACACACTGCTTCAATTTTCGTGAAGGCGAGTGCACCATCACACTTAAGGACATCGCCATCCTAACCGATCTCCCCATCGATGGTGATGTTGTTTGTGTGGAATCTACGCCACCACCTAAAGTTGTTGCCAATATGAGTGGTCGGCAACATTTTATATGGACGGTCACAGGGTTGTGTCCGCCAGAAAAGGGAGATCACGATGCGGATGGTAATCCACCATTGTACAAGGGCCAAGTATCCATCACGTGGTTGACAACGGAGATCAGGCGTAAGCACAACCCTGAGTATCCATCACGTGGTTGACAGCGGAGATCACGTGGTTGTATCTGCTCCGCTGGCAATCAGTAGAGTACCCTTGTACTTGCCGGTAAGGAATGTTCCATCAACTTGAATCACAGGAACACAGTATGGAACACCATCAATACATGGCTTGAAGGCCCAGAAAAGAAGCTTGAATTGGCAATTGTTACCAGGCACCGGCAGTTGAATTTCTTCATCTTGGTAGCGAGGCGAGAAAATGGTGCCAGGGTTAGACACCTCCAATGCCAAAATCAAATTGGGAAGGAATGCATATGATTCTTCCCAGTCACCAAACCCGGCAGCCATTGCTTTCTGTTTCCCATGCCACGCTTTCTTGTAGTTAATGATATAACCATAACGACTAGAAATGTGGGCGATGATGGTTTTCACCTTCAGGTCGGGCTGCTCCTCAATTAGATGTTTGATAGCCGCGGCAACCACCCTTGATTTCAACTGTCGATGGCCTTGGGATGTTATTGATGACACACATGTGTGTGTGTTCACCGCACGGGATATGACCCAATGGCCGACTCTCTTACTCTTGATGGCCCGGACCCTAACTTTGCATCCCTCATTTTCATTTTTGCATCGAACCATCAGCCTCTTTGTGTCGGAATGGGTTGTTTGCCATTCAAAACTCCGAGTCATTGCTTCAGTGGAAATATCGTGTCGGACCTCATTCTTCGTTGCAAATTGTTGGCCCTTCATAAAGCCAGTTAGTGGACCCCATATTGGCACATCTGGCGGGTCCATGTCGGCATCAACATACCAATCTTCATTTTGAATGTGATTGTAGTATGGAATAGGTACACATTCGTGAGGTACCTCATCACCATCTGCGTCTGAATCTGGACCGGAATCATCAGCACCTTCCAGCGGATCGAAGCTGTCTGCACTAACTTCGCCTTCCTCTTCTTCAACCTCAGGGTCACTAACTGGACTTGGATTGACCTCTTCTTCCATCTGATTATCAGCATGAAAGGCACCTTCACCTTCACTAGCTCCGTAATGGTAGTTGTGGTAACTAACACCGCTTTGATAGAAGTTGTACTCGGGTGGGTACTGGTAGCCTGCTTGTTGGTTGTAATCCGCATGTTGAGCTTCTTCTTCATATGAAGGGAAGGATTGATGACTTCCTCCAGTTCCATGATGATACTCCTGCCTCCAGCTCGACTCTTGGAAATCCTGGTGGGGATGATCTTCGTATAATACACTCCCACCGTGGATACCAGATGTTTGGCCATCTCCAGAATGACCTACACTGCATTCGACGACCTCGTTGTAAACAAACATCTCTGCTTGCTTAATTTTATTGGTGGTCAAAAATTGGACTATGGCATCAACGTCCTCCTGAGTGGTAAGGAGGAATTCATCATTCCACAGCGACCCGTCATGTCTGTTTGGATATCGATACACCATTCGATCAACTCTTCTAGTGCCATCCATGCAGGTAATCTGAGTGCACATTTGATGGAGCTCTTCAAGCATCGGTCTCGTACGGACCTTCATTTTATAAAAATTGCCACCGACGTAACTTACTCCCTTTTCGGTCTCTTCCGTGTAACCATTCTACCGCAACCCAAGCGTGAACCTTTGGAATGCCATCTGCAATGAAAAGTAATACAAGTTACTAACATAACATCACAAAGGACAATGAAAAGTAATTAAGTTACTAACATAAAATCACAAATGACAATGAAAAGTAATTAAGTTACTAACATAAAATCACAAAGGACAATGAAAAGTAATTAAGTTACTAACATAAAATCACAAAGGACAATGAAAAGTAATTACGAAACAAACTTACGAATTAACGTTAATCGCAAAAACTAAATAATTTAAAGGTGCAAAGCTGAAATATTAAGAAGGAAGAGGAGGAGGTGTGAAGAATTGAGTTCTCTGAAACAGCCTTTTATAAGCAAATTTTGCAGCAAAACCGCTGGGGGGGGGGGGCGGTTTCAGGTCTGCCATGCAGCCCTACCCCCTGCATGCCGACATGTCCGACATGTTTCCTGTCGGGTGACCAGGCACAAACGGCGCCATGGGGTAGCGGTTTATGTCCTGACATTATAAACCGCCGCTTGGTGAGGCGGTTTGTAATGCCGACGTTTAAACGCTCCCTCTTAAAGCGTTTTGTGGTAGGGTTAGCCTATAACCGCGCCTTCCACAAACGGTTTTTTCTGGAAATTAAAAATGCCTCTTGGAGGCGCGGTTATAATGTAAAACGCTGCCTGGAGGCGCGGTTTCATTCAAAACCGCTCATTAGAGGCGCGGTTTTATATAAACGCTGTATGGAACACCTCTACGATCGTACCGCCAGGCATGTACTCGGTTGCTAAATAGACGGTGGCGGTGGTGCAGTCGTTCCGCTGCTAGTCCTCGTACTCGCTATTCGCCGAGCTCAGCGACGAGATCGTCCCCGTGGCGGTGACCACCTCGGTGGGGATGTTCTACGGGACTACGGCCAGCTGGTTGAAGTGTTTGGACCCGATCTTCTTTCTCATGAACCCGCGCCCGAGCTACTCTGTTCGGGTCTGGGAGAAGCTGTCGGCGGCGATGACGTGCGGCCGCGACAGGAAGTCGAGCTTGGAGAAGCTGTCCCCCCTCTCTCTCTCTCCTTTGGATCTCTATTTCCTTTTGGTTTTGCATTGAGATGCTTGATGTTGATGATGACCATTCTTCCTCGTTTGGATGGGTTTGGTGTTAACTGTTGAGTTAGTATTCTTTATTCTGCGCTATGGTAGGTAGGGTTTATTTGTGGTTCATATTTTGTGTTGTGTAATTGTTGTGGATCATCTTCAGGTCGAGTGTAGTACAGTAGCTTCAGATATCATGGCCGTGGTCCTTGATATTATGGATTTGTCGAAATTTGCCCGCAGAGGGAATTGAGCGATTTGTGGAATTCGCCCAGGTTCTCTAGCTTCTTACCGGATGTTACGCCGTTGCCTGGAAAAATCATTGAATTTCCGTTCATCAATGGCGGTTGCAGAGAAAAGAAGGAAACGGAAAATAAAAATAAAAATATTTAACTTAATTTTTATAATAACTAGGTGGAAAATAAAAAATAATTTTTTTATTTTTTTAATTGTCATATCACTCACTTAACGGTCAACAGTGAGAGTTGACCGCCACATCAGCAAAAGTTAACGGAGACTGACGGTCAGTGACTAAATTTTAACTGTTAACCTAATTTAAGTGACTACGGATTGAATAAATTAATTTTAGTGGCAAATGTGAACTTTACTAGTAATTCAAGTGACCAAACTTACACTTTAGCTGTAAAACAATGCATGCATTGTTTTAGGTAGGTCCCACCAACAATCACAAAAAATGATCATTATACAATCTCAACTTTGTGATTGTTGCTTTTAGATTTGTGTCAACTTTTTCTTTCCATTTATATCCCTAATAGTTTTTGTCTTATACTAAAAGTTGAGGGTAAATATGGTATTTCCCCATAAAAGTAACTTTATGTAAATCAATGCATAAATTAGAATCTCAACAACCAAACAATGTATTGTTAAAATGCATCCATTGTATCAATACATGCATTTATATTATGGCGATTCATTGCAATGCAACGATTTAACATTCGCAACTTCCAAACGACCCCTTAGTTGATTTTTATTAGAGTTGTCAAAACATAACTCCAAGTCTTCCAACGAATTTAAATATGAATGTTTGTTATTTTGTTTGAAATGTTTTATTTAAATATGAATGTAGATTGTAAGTAGATTGTCTTCAAATATGTTTTTATTTATGGTTAAATTCATTATACACTAACAATTTTTCACATTTCTACATAATTAACATAAACCGGTTGTACCGTACAACGATATAAACCCGTTTGAGAACCTTACTTATGTGCATTATAGGTCAAACAACTCATTTTTTCTATTTGGTATTTGTGTGTCATTTGAGAGAATTAAAGGATCAATTATCTTGTTTGGATAACCAAAAAGATGAGTTATTTAACATGCGGTATTAATAACATAAAGGACTAGAATACCATAATGCCCTCAATACTTTCTTGATCATTCTCATTATTGCTTGTTCCTCTTATATTACCCATTGAATAAATCTCCATATCATTATCGAAATCAAGCAAACTATACCATTTTATTGAAAGGAAAAACATAAAATAAAGTGAAGGTCGCAAAATTGCAGCATGTCAATTGCTTTATTTCACAATGTTGCAGCAGCAACAAAGAGAACTTGGTCCCTGTTAGACAATTATATGGGTTAATTGTGGGTTCTGCATGTTTCGGTTTAGTTAGCCCATTATGTAAGCTAATTAGAGTGATGTATGAGCGCATGATTAGAGCAAGCCCATGCATTGGGCGATAGTTGAGTTGCTAGGGTTAGGGATGACAATTTTGCCCATACCCATGGGTTTTTTACTATCCAACTCAATTGGGTTGGTTATGAAATCTAAATAGATGGATATGAGTAGAGTTTGATGGGTTTGTACCCATACCCATTTACTTTGGGTTAGATTGGGTTTATAACAAATGGATTTGGGTTTTTACCCATGCCCAAATAAAAATTACAGTTTGGTACCTAAACTTAATAGATATGCATATTTAGTACCTAAATTTTTTTTTGCATATAAGTCCTCAAAATATTGATGGAAAATTATGTTTTGGTACCTAAATTTTTTTGGTCTTACATTTTGGTACCTAAAATTTTCAAGTTTTACAAATAGGTCCAATATTTGCATGTGTAGTTAAAACACCCTCAAGTAAATTGATATCCATATCCAACCCATATCCATTTAGATTATGGAAGCAATATTCATACCTTAACCAAACCCATCTACAAACCCCCCCAAACCCATATGCACTTCACCCATACCCAACCCATTATCGATGGGTCTACTTGGGTTTGGGTATAATTACCCATGGGCGGGTAATTGCCATCCCTAGCTAGGGTTGTAGTGGCCATATATATTGCTTGTAACCCGTAGAGAACGGTACGAAAGTAAGAGACGATTTCAGCTTGGAGAGTTTACTCTCCTGTGGATTAGTCCTTGCATTCCAGAGATACCACATTAAATCTCTGTGTGTTGTGATTGCTGTGTGTTAGATTATAGGAAAATTAACATGGTATCAGAGCTTTCATCAATGGAGTCCAAGAAATTGGCTATCCGTCTCAATCCGAAGAATTATATGCTGTGCGAATTCCAGTTTCGCGTTTTTGTGGAAGGGAAAGGTCTCCTTGGAGTCCTTGATGGTACTGTGCCGAAGCCAACGGTGCCGGCAACGGAAGAACAAATCTCCCGCTGGGTGTTAGGTGATGCGAGAGGGAGGTCTTGGATATTAGGGTCTATTGATCCCACCATATGCTTAAGTCTATGAATGCACAAAACAGCTCATAGTATGTGGAAATACCTAGCGGCGACCTACGCAACTGCGAGTGCCGCCCGTCAATTTGAGGTTCAATGTGCGTTGGATCGATTGCAACAGGGAGATCGAGATGTTACCGCCTATTTGACTGCTGCCCAAGAACTCTGGACCGAGCAAGACATGCTCACGGTTTTCCTTCGTCCGGCCGAGACGTCCACTGTGGTGATTGAAGAGAGACAACATGCTCGCATCCTTCACTTCCTCATGCGATTACGACCTGAGTTTGAGTCAACCAGGTTAAGTATCATTCATCGCGGCACATTGACTATGGACAGTGTGCTGGCTGATCTCGTACGGGAAGAGTCAAGACTTTGTACCCAGGCACAGCTGGATCTTCGGCCCGGTGATAGCGAGTCCGCTCTTATAGCTGCTGTAGGTGGCGAAGAAGCTTTTGCGGTGGGCAAGCCACAATTTCAACGGCCTGTACCTGTTTCGGAACTCCAGTGTCACCATTGTCGCGAAAGGGTCATCTTCTGAAGTACTGATGTCGTCGAAACTTTTGCGTCTACAGCAAAAAGGGAGGACCCGTTATTTTGGATTGTAGGTTGTTCGTCAAACATCATGGAAAGCACCCTGAGGCTCCTTCGACTGAACGAGCTGATCGACCAACACGACCATGATGGGCCAGCAACAACAATGGATGGGCCAGCAACAACAAGTGGGCCGCGACGCTCGATCCGAGTCCGCCAGCCCAGCTCACGTTACCGCCAGGAGTAATCAAGGAAGGAAGAAGTGTTTCCACGTAGCTTGCCAAGTAGATAGGTTTTGTGTTGCAGTCATTCGTTAGCAAGTTTGAATGAGTCATAGGAAGTAGTTAGTGGAATAAACACCTCCCACCTTATGTGGGATGCGCTGTTAGGAGTCCAGTAGAAGTAGCTGAATTAGTGGTGTTTGTTATTTTGGGTTTTCTTTAGCTTTATAAGCTGAACGTGAATGAGAATAAGGCAAGCAGAAATTTGATAACAAAAGCCCTGGTAATTTCTCGCCAAGAAAAGAGAAAACTGGCCCAATCCCGCCAAGAAAAGGGATCAATCCATTCATACAATTTCGACCCTTATCATCTGGTATCAGAGCGTGGCATGGGTACACATGCGCAGCGCATCGACGCCCTCGAAGCGGCCACTCACGAGAACCAGTCCGGCATCCAAGCAACCCTCGATCAACTGGCCGCCGTTTAGGTAGCCGTCACCCAGATTGCTCAGGACCGAGCAACCAAATCCGACGAAGGCGACAAATCAGTCAACGATCGACCCCGCCGAGGGCCGGATGAAGATGAAGAACGTGATCGCCAGCCTTTCTTTGGAGCCAAGCTTGCCCGTTTGGAGTTCCCTACGTTTTCTGACGGCGATCCCACAGTCTGGTTCTCCCGGGAGGAACAGTTCTTTGAATTTCAGGACATTCCAGCCGATCAAAGGGTGAACTTGGCGTCTTACCACCTCGAGGGCGACGCTAATCAATGGTGGCAATGGCTACGCC